CATAGCATACTACACTCAGCCAGCCTAGCAGAAAGTACCACTCATAAATTATTATTATCCTTAATAACCAGAATAGATTCACTCTCTGACATCTAGAAGCTAGAAGAATTAAATAAACTCCAAATATATAACAAAACCATCAATAGACAAAAGAGATATTATTGTAACGGTTTGGCTCTACGGACGAGACAGTGCCACGACAGTACGAGACAACGAACCGTCAAGGTGACAGGAAACCCAACCTACAATCGGGCAGGCTGACAGAGACGGGGAGAAAGTGTGAAGAATGATCGAGAACGGTCATGGAAGCGGTTACCATAGTTTGTTGATGATACGACACTGTCAATTTGGTGGAAGAGAGAAAGCGGGTCAGCGCGGGGCGGATATACGTTTTAATTGTAAATAGTTTACGCGTTCGGATATTTATTTTGTATTTTAATTAAATAAATAGTTTCAACCCACACTCGTGTTACATTATAATAGCCACTTAGAATGCCAATCGTATTTTCCAAAAACTATATGATATCCAAGTTTTCTTGGATGTTTAAAAAATAGATATATGTCTGATTTCTAAGATCCACCTTACAACAGAATTATACATTAAATTCAGAGGATACAACTTCTATCTCACTATCCATTCATTAAATGCAGCAAGAAGAGGAATTGCGTTATTTATTAAAAATAAACATTTCGCACTATGAGGAACCAGGCATCCAAAAACCAGAAAATCAGGTAACCATTAGCAACATTACCATTAAAGGGTGCAAAATTAAAATAGTTGCAATCTATTGCCCACTAAGATGCAATCAGAAAAAAGAAAATTATCTCCATGTACTCAAAAAACTAGGTAACAAATTTATAATCGGTGAAGATTACAACTCCAAATCACTAACTGGTGTTTAAGATTAACCACAAACAAAGGAAAAGAATTGCACCAAGCTGCATCAGAACTTGTTTGTACACACCAATCTTTATTCTGAGGAAAATTTCACCAAACTATACACAAGTAGAAGAAAACTTTGATATGGATCCAGACCATTTTTTAGTAATCCTTACTCTAAGTAATAATAAAAAAGAAGCAAAACCGACCCTAGCAAATCGAAAAACTAATTGGGAAGGTTTTCAAGAGGACTTAACAAATACTATTTAACTGACCACAACACTAAAAACAAAAAATCAGCTAGATAAAGAACTAGAAATGTTTATAGTTGAAATCCAGTAAGCTGCATGGAGAAACACACTAAAAGTAAGAAAATTAACAGCTAAAAAAATATCCTGTCGATATAAGAGAACTGGTAGCAGAAAATATAAAACTAAGAAAGAAATGGTAGATGACAAGATCACCAGAAGATAAAAATATATTAAATAGGGCTATCCAAAGACTGAGAAGAGAAATCCTAAATTACAAAGACATACCTAGTAGGGCAAACAGATGATAACTGATTATTCGCTCTAGAAGGCAACTAAAAAGATGAAAATTTCATATAAATACTGTCATCTTATCAGATTAGCAGATAACCAATGGGCAAGAAACATTTAACAGAAAGCCGATATTTTCACTGACTACCTACAAAAGACGTTCCAATTAGATGAAAATCAAGACACTCCTAACGATACGATCCATAATATGGAACAACTTGAAATTAGGCTAGTTACTCCCAATGAAGTAACGAAAGAAATTCAGACACACATCAACTCTCAGAAAGCCCCAAGATATGACCTTCTTACTGGAGAAATATTATAGAAACTACCACGACATGCTACTGTTAAATTGACGTACCTCATAAATGCAGTAATTTGTCTTAAATATACACCTGATGCGTAGAAAATGGATAACGTTGTCCTAATTCCTAAGCCAGGAAAACCTTCGAATAAAGTGTCATCATATAGACCTATATCATTGTTACCGATATCTAAATTGTTTGAAAAACTACTTCTAAAACGACTAAAACCAATAATTTAAAATAAAAATCTGATCCCTTCTCACCAATTTGTTTTTAGAAACAAACACTCGACAATAGATCAAGTACACAGGATAGCCGATATCATCGAAAAAGCTTACGAAGAAAAATATATATGCTCAGCCATATTTCTTGACGTAGCCCAAGCATTTGACAAGGTTTGGTACGCTGTCCCAATACAGAAATTTGAAAAAATGCTTCCTAGACAATATGTCGACATTCTACAATCATATCTAACGGGAAGAATGTTTATAGTAAAGCAAGAAATGAAAGAAATTAAAGCAGGTGTCCCACAAGGCAGTGTGCTAGGACCGGTTCTTTACTTATTATACACAAGCGATATCCCTCAACAATATTGTGTTAAAATAGCAATATTTGCGGATGAAACTGCAGTATTGGCAGTTGACGGAACTAATACAGAGACCTCAGAAAAACTTCAGGAAACTTGCAACAGAATTAATCGATGGACAAAAAAGTGGAAAATAAAAATAAATCAAACTAAATCAGTGCATGTTGATTTTACTCTTGAAGCAAATGAACAAAAAACAAATAAGAATAAACAATGACGTTATTGCGCATCAGGATTCGGCCAAATACTTTTGAATGAACCTAGATGTAAGACTTAAAAAAATGTATTGGCTCCTAGGAAGAAAATATAAATTATCAGTGTACAACAAACTACTGATTTATAAATAAATCCTAAAATCGATCTGGATTTATGGTATATAGCTATGTGGATGTGCCAGCAAGAGTAATATCAACATGATACAAGTTTTCCAAAATAAAATCCTAAGATGCATTGTTGATGCACCTTGGTTCTATCGAAACGATTATCTTTATAGAGACCTGAAGATGCCAACAATCGAAGAAAAAATAAAGAGGTTTGCTGCGAACATGAGGGTTGACTCCACTCCCACGTCAACGAAGCTTGCAATTACTGGACAACTCTACACTCAACAGAACCTCAAAAGGAAGAAGCCATTTGAGCTAGTGCAGTGAACGTTAATGTTAGTGCTAGTGTAAAGCAGTGTAATAAATCGTCAGGCCAACTTGTGATGCTCTCCTATAGAAACAATGGGGACTTCTCAGATAAGTAGTTAGTTTATAAGATTTTTATATAAAAATTGTCGGTTAGTCAATAATGACTAGTAACAATACCCTAACAAAAAAAATAATATTTTATTATAATACAAAACATATTATGAATATTTTTATATTATTAATAGACCTTTTCATCACAAATTCTTTTTGTGCGCATGCATCAGTATTAACTATCTCTTTCGTACTGTTTTTGTAGACAAGTATGTTAAAATGCCCACGTGAAAATAAATTATAATCGATATAAATTAATTTAATTATATTCATTTAAAAAAAAAGAATAAAAAAGCAAAGTAATAATAAGTTTAGTGTCTTAATTGAAATCTACATTTTTGCAATCGATTATAATTATGTTATGTATGCGGGAAGAAACAACGAAACGGTGTTGTTAGGGAGTACCTATGTAAAAGTGACACACGGTATAAATCATTCAAAGGCAATACTTATTGCATTAGGTGTGAAAAAATGTGGTCGAAGTGAGAACGGTTTTCGATGGATTGATGATGTTGGGTACTAAAGATACTTATATTTGTTCACTACATTTTCATGGAGAAAATGGTCCAACAGAAGAAAATTCTGATCTGGTATTAAACAATATTTTTTTTAATATTAATTACTACAGTAATATGATTAAAAATGTCATGTTTTTTTTTTTTCTTTTTTTGGCATAGACACATTGCCATTTAGTGTTTTTACAAGTACTAATAGTTGGTTGCCATAATTAATTAGAATAGAGTTATATTATTATTTGTTTTCATTCATTAATTGTTTACACAGTTAAGAAGTATTGATACACCTAACCTCTCAATCAGTCCACTTTTTTCCCTTGCATCAAACGTCCAAGGCATTTTAACCATCTTTTCAACTGCTCACAACTATACGCTTCCACAAAGGTATAAAAAAGTTAATCACCATCAACGATTTTTTGTTTTTTTTTTCTAATTATTTTTTTTTCTAGAGATACTATTGCTTTCCCAGCCATTGTAGATTAAAACAGTATGAAAGTTTTAAATTACCGCTATTTGAACATAGTGGCTACGCTTGCGCTCATCACATGATGAAAAGGTCTATAACTGACAACTTGGTTCAGTAAAAAATGGGCCATCTATGTTTTATAGTTTCTTATAATATATTACGTTGTAAGTAATTTCAAATGAAAATTAGTTTATTTAAATAACAATTGAGGGAAGTTATTAAAAAATAAAAATTATACTTGTAGGTAATATAGGGTCATGAGGTCAGAATATTGATAGGCAAGCGAGTTACGATTTTATATTAGGTATCTTTATATCAACTAGTTAATCCAAATTACAGATTGGGTTGAATTTTTTAATGCCGGATCTTAGGCTAGTAAGGAAATTGGGACAATGCAGGCCAAAACTAGGAAAAACCTTAATTGGATCAGGTAGAAAAATTCCGTTTATTCCTATTATACAAGGCAACTTTTTTGGACCAAAATATGTCATATGTTCCAAAAATTTTATACCCAGTGGATTTAAATCAGGATTTCTGAAATATTATATGAAATCCCTTTTTGAGGCTCTAAAATGTTTAATTGGGTTTTCTCGAAAACGATTGAAATGATAAAATTTAACCAGTTATGATAATTTTATATAAAAGTGATGTGTATATTGTTTTTTAGTTAAACTTATTCAAAAGTTTCGTCAAGAAAGGTATAATCAAATTTCTTCATCAGTAATCGCATGTGGCTCCTCTTATAACAAAATGTAAAATAATATTTTTGCAAAGTTATGCCAATTTTGATAATAATTTATAAATAGGCTGTGAAAAATACTTCAAATCATTCCACAGCATCATTTTGTTAAGGCATGTCTTGTTCAGTCATCATGTTTCGGTCCATATAACCTGCGACATAGAAAAGTGACGCAATAGTTATGACACCCTTTAGAACAGAAATAGTGTTATTATTAAGTAACTTACTCTTCAACTGTCATATTTTCTCCATGGATGAATTGATCAAAAGCGTTTGTAAAGTTGTAAACCGTCTGCCTTGTTTTAGTTTCTGAACAAATTGTAACGGCTGGGAAGGGGACCTGCCAGACAGGTGTGGGACTTTTTGCAAAACTCACCAATACAGGTGATTGGTCCCATTTCGTCCAGGTTTTGATAATGAGATCTATACAAACGTATAGTGATATGCAGAAGAGGATAACCCACCAAAATCTAAAAAATAAAAAAATATATTTTAAGCATATATTGCGACAGGTAGGGTTGACATAATAATGCTTCTTATGTTATGATTTTGCTATATTACCGCGCTTTATGTACGTTAAATCAAGTATGCGTGAGCAATTTGACGAAATGGAAACAATTTTTGAAAACGTTGTCGAAGTAAGATGGTGCTTATGTCAAGTACTAGCTCATACTTGTGAACGCGAGTGTGAATGATTTTCGCTCCTATTCACGTATTTTATGCTTGTTCACGCTTTGTTCTCCAACCAAATCGATTTTTGGTACCAGCTTCAAAAGGTCCGTGGTCAATAAATGCAAACGCTATACTCGTACAAAATCTTCATTCAATCCTGTTCACTTATTTGAACGACCTACGCGGCCAAAAGTCAATTTTGCAAAATGTAAAATTGATAAATAAAAACAACTACTTTAGTAAATTTGAGAATAATACTCAGCCTTTCCCACCTTTTCTTTGTGCACACGACGTCTTCACTGGCAGTCACAATAAGTGTATGTCTGTTATCTGCGCGAAGATAAAACATTAATTTAAATATTGAATATTTATTATTTTACGTTTACCTCTGTCAAATGGATCCTGGTACAGTAGGTAATGCAACATAATTTTGATTATTTTTATAGTTTTAGTGTATTGAAAGTTACACGTATTACAGAATATTTTTGACCTAATATTTGTGTTTATTAAAGAATTTGTTATATTTTCAAGTTAGATCCTAGTATAATTCTTCTAACAATCGAAAGTTTAGAGCTTTTTGTAGTAAGTAATCCAAAAACTAGCCACAGAAAATCGCGGATAAGTATTATTTTAATACTTAGATTTTTTTTACGAAAATTTGATAATTATATTGAATACATTTTTAATAATTTGTTTTTATTTAAGGTTCACAAAGTACCTCGGAAGTAAGAATTGTGACCAGTAAGTATTTGTTTGAGCGTATGCAAAATCAAAATTTTTCCTAATTTGGAAGAAAAACTGAATTCCTTAAAAGAGCAGCTTTTATTATGCGACGGATGCACAAAAGGCCAAATTAAGTGCTTAAAACGTAATTATTTAATCTTTAAATCCCAAATTAAACAAAGATGATCCAAAGTCCATAAAAATGAAGATGTGTTTCGCAAATACAATAATTATTCGTAGCTAGATAGAACCTTTGGAATTCCCGTGGATAACCAAAATCGGCCAGGTCGACCACGTAAGGCATTTCAAGAGTTCAGTAAAAGTACTAAAAGGAAGAAAACTGAGGAAATTCAATTTACTTTAAATAAAGAGATAGTTGTTCATGCTGTTCAGGTTGAATTGCGGAAAGCTGAAAAACGAGATGTTTCCCATGTACTCAAAGAAATCACCTGTACTTCGACACGTGCAACAAAATAAATAAAGCATTGTCCAAATCGATGATTGGAGAAACTTACTCTCTTACACCATTACAAGCATTGGTAATGTTCGTAGAAGCTGATTTATCCCATAGACAGTATGAAATCATTAGAAATACCAACAAAAATTCTACCCCTGTTATTTTACAAAAGGCAAAACAAGAATGTTACCTACCTGCAGATTTATGCAGAGTAAATAGTACCAGCGCAGAGAGCTATTTACAGTCTTTAGTTGATCTTACGGTTATGTGTTTGTCCATCTTCCTAGAAGTCCTGAGGACACTGAATAAGCGAGAACGAGCCTAAAGATAATTTGCAAATGGGATTGCAACGTATCTAAGCAATCTCAGTTTAAACAAAAATTTGAAAATGGTGCCGATTCAGACGCTAACATATTTCAGAGCTGACTCGACTCTCTACGATTCGTTTGTGGTAAAGAAGATGCGAAGATTGGATGTGAAAACCCAGCACTCTTTTCTCCACGGTATTGCCGACCTATAGCATTTCGTTCTTTTAAGAAGAGTACTGATATAACGAAAGAAAAAATTAATTATGTGAAAAAAACTACTAAGTCACTAAACGCAACAAAGGTGAACTTAAATGGAAACGACTTTTTAGTAAAACATGCGTTCATCATGACAATGATAGACGGAAAAGTCTGCAATGCTGCCACTGGCACAAAATCCATAAGGAATTCAACCAATTGGATTTAATAAAAACAGGTTAGTCCTGAAGCTACAGAGTTTGGACTTTTAGTTCTATATGTAAGAATTCATCTTTTTGGAAGCATTCTCAATTTGGCTTATAAATTGCCAGTAAAAAATACAGAGAGAAAATCTGAAACGGAAAAAATATTAAAAAAGAAAGGAAACTGTAAATCCAGGCAAGATTTCGCAAAGAAACAGGTTTGTTGGTGGATATACCAAAGGCAAATTTTGGTAATACAAATAAGAGGAAATATATGATTAATACGCATCAGATACTACTCGTTTATATAAAGATCTGTACCCTTGGCACCCAATAACGCCAACAATGCACAAAATTCTCGCTTATGGGATAGCTATAATAAAAAATGTATTGGACAGCTATCTGAAGAGGCTACAGAAGCGTGAATAAAGCATTTCCGCTCATATCGCGCAGACTTCGCGTAAAAATTCTGTAGAGAAAACTGTAACAGAGATATTGTTAATCGCCTGCAGCTCAGACCCTCTCTTAAGTAGCATAAGGAACATAAAAGAAAAAAGTTTAATTACTTTTTGCCAGAAATAATTAGTTTACTAATGTCCGCAAGCTGAACCCAGCTAGTTTTTCTTCAGAATGCGAAGATGATAATTTATCTAAATAATATTAGATAGGTATAGTACGAGCAAGAGGTATAGTGCGACTTTAAAGCTTTAAAGCCAGCCGGCAACATACAAAAAAAAACTAAGGAAACTTGATATTCTTTCTCTTTCGGCATAACAAAGGGATTCATATATAGACATCTACAACCGAAGCACAGGGACGGTTCTAATTAGTTGTATGTTGTATGTTATGCTTTAATGTAAGATTATTATTTATTTCAAGTGGAAATGTTACACGCATTTAAAAATTATCACATTATTTGCATAATTTCCTAACTTCAAATAGGTGTTTCATAAATGTTACTAAATTTAGTTTTAAAAGACAAATAAATATTCGCGACTTGTAATCAAAATCACCATGAAACTATATTATTTTCATCTACTATTTATTTGATTTAATTGAAGTATTTAAATATTACATTGAATATTAAAAATCAATATAGGATGTTACAAAAAATGCTTGAACAACTGTTATTTGTATCCTTTTATTATAAAAAAACTAAAATATTTTGGAATGTATTAATTTGGCTCTAATTTCTAAAGTGATTAAAGCACGCAAGCCTTCTCACCATATCAAGGTTACATTCCCAGAAAAGGAAAACAGGAACAATATCATGTTTCTTCAAATTAATTTCATTGCATTAAATGTACAATAATATGGTGGTAAGCGTATTGCGGTATGACAGAATGCCGTAGCCATCTCATCCACAACATAGGTAGGTTTGACATTTAATCCTTTCAATTTTGTAAGCAAATCTCTTTTTAAAACTGTAGGTGAATATGATATACCCATTCTGTCAAAAAATGCGGAAATTACCTCTTTTCGAGCTTTTGCTTTTAGAATTTCACTAGTTTGACAAGAGTGGTAGGGGGCATTATCCATTACTATTATAGCATTTGGTGGCAAATTAGGAATTAATTGTTCAATAAACCATTTCTCGAACAAGGTAGATGTCATATGTTGGTGATAATCTGCTAACCAACTCAAAATATTCTTTGCTGATAATAGCCAGTAATTCGGAATAAAAAACCATTTCATTACCGGCATATAATATTATTTTACGTTTTCCTCTATTTGAAGGAGCCTTTATAGAACATTTAGCAGATTGATCACTTCATTCTCATACCAAGTCTCATCAAGATACACTATGAATCTATCTTGCCGACGAGCTTTCTCTATTTTAGTAAGGTATTCATTACGTAAAATCATAATTCTTTGCGATTCCATAATATGCTGTTTTCTATTTAATGTACGATATTTTAAACACAAAGAATGGAGCACTTTTCTAGTGGTTTTATCAGATTCGTAAGGGAAACCAGGGACCAACTATAATTCATTTTAAATCATTTGAAAAGATGGAACAATGTTATTAGAATAAAAATTATAAACCTTTCTTCTAATATTTTCCATCATGTAGTGATGTAGACTTATTAGTGACCTTTAAGTCCGCTTTTCTCTTGGAAAGTTATAATAACTTTTCTAATCAAAGGTTTAAAAAATTTTGTCAAAACGTGTATTCTTTCTATGACACTATAAGTAGATCCATTATTTTTAATTAGTGGTACATATTTCTAATAATTTTTTGGGTTAAGGGTGATATGCACATATCAAATTTTTGGTTATTATCGTCCTCCTCTTCTTCATCCTCCTCCTCCTCCTCCTCCTCCTTAAATTCTTTTCTGCTTTTAGAAAAAACTATAATGGGTTCTGAATAAAATTGTGTAGGTTCAGTTGAGGTAAGAGCACATTTGGGGTAAATGTATTAATACAAATCTTAATAACAATAGTCTAAATAATAACACTAAACAAATTCAATTTTAATGTAGCAAAATGCATTTACCCTATGTATACGGGCTCAACAAAATTTTAAAAATATACTAAAATTTATCATATATAAATGACAATTGTTTGTTTCATTTAATTGTACCCTAAATGTTGAAATAGTTATCTTAATAAAGTCTCTATTTACTAGTAATTACCTACTTACTTAATGTGTTGTCGTATAGTTTTTACATTTATACTTTTTCTCAGTATATATTAATATTTGACCTCCAGTTATTAAACCAAAAATTAACATTTTCCACTATTGAATCTACTGGTAAAATATTACCTTTTCTTTGTTAATCACCCTGTATAGATAAACAATAATGTAAACTGCGAAAGCAGACTTTGAACTGTTTAAATTTTACAATTTATGTGAGTATTTAAATATCAATTTAAATGTTTTTGAGGTGCAACTGATCCTACCTATTAAAAAATGGTCAATCAGTTATAATTATTTACATACCTTTAGGGCTTATATTGTTTTCAACACTTTCAAAAGGCCTCCAAAAAGCCTTTTTTTATAAATCAAAAATTCAAACAGTAATGTCAATACAACACTGGAAAAACAAACACTGCCCACCTGTGCTCACTCAACAAGGCGTGACGAAGAACCAATCAGAAAATAAGTTGAGCGAAATCACAGACTTACGATTAGATATCCCAGTCCACGTGTAGCGGCATTTATTACGGGCTATCGTGTGCTCTACAAATAGAAATTTGAGAAAGGCCAATTCAGCCAATACGAAGACGCTTAAATTAAGCTGTTCAACATTAATCTGACCTAATCGTGCTTGTCGTACAACGATGTCAGGCATAAAATATTTACGCTATTCTTGCTCCGAATAAATTGCGCTAAACGTACACAGTCGTTTAGCTGTAATGGAATTGAACGCATCATTTTTTTTGCAGTTTGACAACTGTGTTTTCTAAGTCTGGACGTTGGCGGTGTCTTTGTGAATTTCTAATTATGTACAAGATCATAAGCATATTACTAAACAGATGTATAACAAAATTAAACAACGTAATGAAGAAGTTAAAGAAAATTTAATAAACAAATTAAATGAAAAGAGATCTGAACCAGATAACTATTCTAAACAAAAATCATGTTTTGTCAAAACAAAATTGAGAAATAAAAAATTACCAAAATTTAAAAAGGCAAATGTCATTGAAGACAAAGGTATTTTATTAAAAACAGACAAAGTATTGTTAGAAAACCAAAAAATAAATTAGAAAAATTGTTACAGGATATCGACGAAAATGAAATCCATTTTGATAACGACGCTGTTCCAAGTACAAGTTCTACAAGTCATTTATATATACCAAATACATAGTATATTTATATCTTACATTTTACATTACTTAGAAATCGATATAACATAGTTTAATTTATATTGATATAGGGTTAGTAACTAACCTCCGTATATCTTATCATAGCTTATCACAAAATATGTTGACAAGAAAAGAATATTTAATAATTACTGTTCAGAAAAAGATTAATAATTTAATTCCTCATGTAAGACATAAAAGAGCTCTAATAAATGCAATTGAAAAAATTAACAAATGGCTATTTGGAAATCTTGATTCTGATGATGAAGAAAGATATAATAATGCTATTAAAACATTGCAAGAAAATCGAAAAAATATTATCAGTGAAACAAATCTTCAAATTTTGCTGTACAAAAGACTTGTTGATCATTATAACAAATCAATTACAATCTTAAGCAAAAATCAAGAAAAATTTAAAGTTGATATGGAAAAAATTCAAGCAGCTATTTATAACAGAATTAATACACTTGAAAGTTATATTAGTTTTCAAGCCATTATATCACAAATTGATTTAGATTGTCAAATGGCAATTTTTTTATAGATAATTTAGAAAATGCTATAACCTTTGCAAAATTAAATACTTTACATAATTCTATAGTTTCCAGCTCAGACAAAAAAGACATGATAAAATATTTACATAAAATATATAATGTTGATCAAATTCCGAAATTTACAAATTTATTAACGTATTATCAGTTCTTAGGAACGCAAGTATCAATTTCAGAGTCCAAGTTAATTTTTGCAATACATTTTCCTATTTTTGAAAGTAATACCTTTGAATTTTATCATTTATTCCCAATTATCCAAAACCAAAAAATGTATACATCTTTATTTCCCTATTTAGCACGAAAACATCAAGAAACACAGTTTGAACAAGAAGAATGTCCATCCCTTGAAGAAATCTATTATTGTCAACAAAATTTTATCCAAAGAGATAATTGTACTCTCCAACTTCTTGAAGGAAGAACTTTGACAAATTGTCATATTTTAAATGTTAATTTAGAAGAATCAGTATTTGGACAAATCGCAGTAGATGAAGTCCTAATAATTCCGTCAAAACCTGAACAAATTCTTGCAAAATGTAACAGTAACCAGTATATAGACATAAGATCACCTGTATTAATCAAGATACCAAAATCTTGTGAAATTTGGGCAAAGGAAAGACGATACATCAACAATATTCAATTGAGCAAAGGAAAGCCATTCATTTTACCGAAGATCGACATAAGAAAATCCAAACTTCAAAATCTTATCACACTTCTAATATAACTAAATTAGATTTTAATGATTTATATGAAATTAATCAAATTTCTAAACAATTAAAGCCAATTAAAGAAATTCAAAATAATTTTAATTATTCAAGCACTTTTGGAACAATTTTTGTAATTTTTATTTGCATAATTATTTTAATATTAATTAAATACAGAAGACAACTTTTAAGAAGATTTAAAAGAAAGAAGAAAGGAAACGAAGAAATTGGATTAGAAAATTCCACAGAAGATGTTTTGAAAAATAGCTTCATATTTTTCAAAACTTAAGGAGGAAGGAGTTATATATTGAGGATATAATAGAGTCTTTTATGATATAAATAGATTATCTTTGATTAATAATCAGTTTTACTTTATAAATAGGAGTAGAATATTATTATTGGGTGTTATTTGTTATTTAAAGCTGTTATTTGAAGTAGCTTTAGTTCAGATATCCATTTAAGTGTATTTTATACTTAATAAAATTTTTAAAAATAAAAGTTCCATTTTGGAATTTATAACTATCACGCATATGAATCACCTTCTCCAATATTTTGATCGAGTAAAGCCATGCTCAGACATGACGACAATGTCCAGTATTGCCAGTTCTACGCTTTTAACAGTATATCTACTGCTTCTGTCACTTCCTCTTCGACTGTTTTGACTTGAAAATTTACATTTTTATTGAATATAATTATCTAAAAATTACTATATTTACCCAATTATTAAAAAAGTTTCCATAAATGATTGAAAAAAATTACCTAACCAGTAAAAGTTAAATGGCTCCAGGCCACACAGGTTAGGTAAATTAGTTCAGTTTTTTATTTTTTTTATTTTATGTATATTTTTTGCAAAGCAACCCCCGAAGGTTCCATGTCGCATAGGTTAGGTAAAATATTTAGATTTTTTGTACTTTCTCTTGATTTATATATAATTTTTCTGTGTTTGAATAATTGTTCATTTCTTTTATACTTTTCGATTTATTTTACGTTTGTCCAATTGTATTTTCATCATTTGAAGTTTCGACCAATTGAATTTTCGACCATTTATAATTTCAACCAATTATATTTTCGATCAACTCAATTTTATCATTTTTCCGCTCACCGAGTATTTTACATTATTTAATGTGTTCAATACAGTCCTTAAAATTGCTGATTTACCCTGTATTTATTGAATTATTTATTTTACTTTAATTTGCTTTAGAGCAGGTATAGAATATTGCTACTTACATACATAGTAAAAATTAAGAGTGAATTGTAGTTTAAAATGAACATTTTCAGAAATGTCCGTGATAACTAGACATGTCTCTTAATTGAAATCCAAACTGTCAATTAAAAAAGTATTGTAAGAGCCGACAAACATGATTTTTTCTATACTTACTTTTCACATAACGTCCTATCCTGTTCTCCCATATATTTAAAACCATGGACGCCTGTGTTACCAGTGAATTCTTGAAAATAATCTAGGAGATTTTTCCGAAAGCCAGGATACTTTCGCTTAGATTTCTTGACTTCATTTTGATATTCGTTTTTCTTTATCTTTGCTGCATTTTCAATATCACCATTTTCGTTTTCGGCTTCGGTCATTTTACTGAGAAAAACTGAATTCACAAGATAAAAAAAATCAGCTGATGGGAAAACAAATTCACAAAAATTTTTTTTACAAACATCATTAGTAATTTTTAAACCAAAAGATATTTTTAGGTAAAGTTTGTGCACTCATAATATCCCTAATTACCATTAATTCAAGCGTACTCTCCAAAGAAGTGGATCTGCATTATAATTTATTTATAATTATAGCTGATTTATATACCATATAAAACAATAATACCACTTTGCTTATGATACTGCAACTCTATCGTCTTATGAATAATATGTATTAAGCTATCAGGGCACCTTTGGATTTTTTACATATGCCATAATTTTAGGCTCATTTTAGGCTAATTTTAGGCTAATTTTATACCAACTTAAAAAAAGTACTCTTCTTTCATTGTAGGAAACATTAGGTGATCTGCTATATCAAGCTAGCAGAGCACCTTCGGATTTTTTAAATTTTAATAATCCCATAATTTAAGGATTATTTTAGGCTAATTTTATACCAACCTAAAAAATTTTCCTCTTTTTTCTTTATAAAAAAAAATGGGTACTCTGCTTACTTAACAAACAGGCACTTATTACGTTTTTCATTAAAAAATTCAGCAATGAAAAAATATTAACTGCCTAATTTTAGTCTAATTCTATACCAACATAAAACATTTTCGACTCTTGCCTTTATCGTAAAAATTAGGTACTCTGCTAGCTTGATACTACTAATTTATAATATTTTTCGTTAAAATTTTTGGGGTAATTCTATACTAACATGCTGTCTATATTGAAAAAATTAGGTTCTTTGATAATGTGATTTTAGAGGGGTTTTCTTTAAAAAATTGAGAAAACTAAACAATGGATACCGCATGCATTTTATGCTAATTCTATAAAAACTTAAAAAAAATCCAGTCTGGCTTTTATCGGAAAAATTAGGTGCTTTAATTAGGTTGATAATACGAGTTTATAAAGTTTTTTTGTCAATAAAATTGAGAAAACAAAAAATAGACACGGCCCAACTTTAGGCCAATTTAAGGCTAATTCTATACCAACATAAAAAGTTTTCCGCTCTTGCCTTTATTGAAAAACTTAAGTGCTCTGCTAACTTGACCATACGACTTTATATAATTTTTCGTTAAAAAATTGAGAAAACTAAAAAATGAATAAGGCATAAATTTAGGTTCATTTTAGGCTAATTATACCAACATAAAACATTTTCCACTCTCTGTAAACTCTTGTTGTTAATTATATAATTATTCTATTTTCCCAGTAAAGACAACGTGCCCATTTTTTAGTTTCCTCAAATGTTTGAACGAAAAACTACATAAACTACTATTGTCAAGCTAGCAGTGCACCTAATTTTTCCAATAACGATTAGAGTGAATTTTTAATGTCCATATAGAATTTTCCTAAAATGACCCTAAATATATGCTGTGTCCATTTTTAGCTTTCACAATTTTTTAATCAAAAACTCTATAAAGTCGAATTGTCAAGCAAGCAGAGCACCAAATTTTTCCAATAAAGACAAGAGCAGAATTTGTTTGTTATGTTGGTACATAATTAGCCAAAAATGAGCCTAAAATTATGCTGTGTCTATTTCTTAGTTTTATCTACGCTCTGCACAAAAATTAGCGCATCACTATTAAAATTGACAAAAAGTTGTTCTTTATTTGCGTTAATTTTTGTGCGGAATGTATTTTATTAATGAAAAACACCATACATTTTTATTGTTAAGCTAGCAGAGCACTTTTTTTTCTGATAAAGGCCAGAGTGGAATTTTTTTATGTTGGTATATAATTAACTCAAAATAAGCCTAAAATGAGGCTGTATCCATTTGTTAGTTTTCTCAATTTTTTAACGAAAAACTATATAATCGTATTGCCAAGCTGGCAAAAGCGGAAAAATTTTTGTTGGTATATAATTAGCCGAAAATGAACCTAAAAGTATACCGTATCTATTTTTTAGTATCCTTAATTGTAACAGTGGTAATTTTCACAAAGTAGTCTGTGAAGAGTATTGTGTTAGTTCCTTCCGTCCATGTGATGTCACGTTTTTTGTCCGTACGAAAAGTCACAAACGATATTGATATTGAAAATTTTAGGAAAAATTAACCTATAAGAAGACGAAGCTTATTGATTTTAAAAGAAATCTGAATAAAAATGGGGGATTAAGGAGGATTGAAATAAAAAAAATATCTTAATTTAAACGAAAAATATTAACTTGAAATTTTTAACAAAAACTAGTTTTGATTTAAAAAAAATCTATTTAAAAATGGGGGGTTAGCGAGGGTTGAAATTAAAAAAAAATGTAAATTAAAAACAAAAAGCGATATCAACATGAAAATATGAAACCCATTTATTCTGAAACAAATCTGAAATAAAATATGGGTTGAAATATTTAAAAAATCCTAACTCAAAAACGAAAAAAGATATCAACTTAAAAATCAGGCTCTACAGGGGTATAAAGCCTATTGGTCCCGAAAAAATCTGAATTGAAATGGGGGAATAAGTGGGTTGAAATATTGAATAAAATCCTAACTCAGAAATAAAAAACGATATCAAATTGAATTCTTCCTGAAAAATCTAAATAAAAATGAAGAATTAAGGTGGGTTGAAATATTAAAAAAAAATCCTTATTTAAAAACGAAAAATAATATCGACTTGAAATTTTTGGCAAAAATCAGACTATATAAGAAAGAAGACAAAGTCTATTAATTAAAAAATTAAAAACAAAATATAAATCCAACACCAAAAGTCCATAAGTCAACAAAAATAATGGGATAAGGGGATTAAAATATTGAAAAAAAATCTTAGAAACAAAAAGCGATATCAAATTGAAATATTTATTCTTGATTCTGAAAAAAATCTGATTGACAATGGGTCTATTCTGTGAATAGAGAATGCCAATCATTATATATCTTCTTTCTAGTTTAAACACAATGTGGGTAATGTCTCTGAATGACTTTCAATGTTGCAATTATTTTTTACATCATATAAATTGTACTTTCCAGCAAAAATCAATTGTAGCAAATACTAGATAAACCAGAACTCAAATTAACACAATTAATTTTTGTTAAAAAGTACTATTTAAATGATGTTCGGAGATATTGCCCAAAGAGTAAAATAATTATCTACTCTCATCGATATTGTATAATATAGTAGAATTACTAGAGTTAAATACTTTATTTGGCTAAAGACGTGGCCTTTAAAAGGCGAGTCCGTTGAAGCTGAAATATTAAGCAAAAAAAATAATGGATACACAATAGATAAACAAAATCTCATATAAACATATTGTACCCTAGTGCAAGTAGTCGAATGCGCGATATCAATTTTTTTGTATAATTCTTTTGTAATTACTCAAAAATAAAATAATTTAACGACATTTGTTAGGTATATGTCATTTGGGGTCTACTTGGATCCATTTTAATGGGATAGAGAATAATTCTTCAGGGGTGGAGAAAATGAAGGTAGCTTGGCAAGCAAAAATACATATTTCACAGGGACGCACTAACAAAATACGAGGGGACGATGATATCAATTAGACATTGTTATTTACCTTTCTACATACGTTTAGCTAGTTAAATGTGTTTATTAGTGGTATTAGCAATCACCTATCTTCTTGTAGTATCTAAAACTGAGGTCTCAATACGTAATGTTTGGTGGTAAAGTATCTCATACAATTCCTCCAAGCTCTGCAGTTCCTCATGACTCCTATTTAGGCCTTCTACTTTTCTTATTATTTGTAAATCATCTCCATCTACGTACTGCATCAGACTTCCTCATGTATGCAGATAATCTTGAGTTTTTAGGAAAATATCCACTCTAGATGACTATGTAGGCCTTCAAAATGATCCAATTTTGGATTGATCAATAGAAAATAAATTACTTTTTAATCTTCCAAATCTAAGGTAATTATATTCAGTAAAATTAGTAATCCTTAAAATCTACACAATCTACACAAGGATCAGCCCTAGAGAGATAATCAAAAATGGCCGACTTGGAAATAGTTTTTCAAAATAATTTTAAATTTGATGTAACTATCAACAAAACTACCACAGAAGCTAACAAATTGTTAGGATTTCTGAAACATACTCAATTAAAAATGACTTTTTTCTCTCGTATGGGACCCTACATAACAAAATTTAATACAAATTATGGAAACTATTCAAAATAAATTTATCAAACATTTATACTTTAACAAATATAGTACAAGTTCAGGGTTTGTTTCATTTGCACCTGTTAGAAAAGAGTTTAAAATTGATAATTGTGACATAACTTGTTTTTACATAAATTGTTAAATGGATATTTGCACAGTCAATATCTATTGAGTCAAATAAAAATAGCAGGTATGCGCCACAGTCAATTAACTTTTCGTGCGGATAATCATGGCACAATAGAGTGTACACTACCAATAAATTTCTTGCAATATTATTATAGCAGCTAAAAGCACATAAAAAAGGAACATAAGAAAATGGTTTATGTCCGACCAAAGTAGCATGATTTTGTAGGATTTCGGTGGCTTTGGCGCGGTTTGTCCTCTGATTGTTTCTGATGTAAAGTAAAAATTGTTACGAAAATCCAGAGAAAAGAACGGATTTATTGTTCTATTAACGTTTTATTAACAAGATAACAAGTATGTTATGGCTGAAATTTTTCTGAAAATTTTTTGTTCAGTTTTTTAACCTTCGTCGGTTATTTGGTGGAATTAAACATTATGTGGGAGCTTCGTTATCATAAATTGGCAGAGTACGAGCTCTAACAACTATATATTCGGACGATGTAAGAAAATAAAAAAAAATATATTGATATTTATTTTAAACAATTTTTTTGATTTTCCTGCGTGAAAAATCAAGTCACATACTCTTTACTTAACATAAAATCTGATCGTAAGGAAATACTTTTTTATTTTGTATAAACAACATAACAAAGTAACGAAATTTGATCAAATTTGCCGACAAATAAATATTCAGACAACTTGAATTTTATAGCTTAAATCGAACATTAATACGAGGTAACAT